TCCTGTCTGGTATAAGGGCCTATAAATACATCGGGGAATCAATCCCTGGAAATCTCGAAATTACGAACGCATGTTAAAATTGATCACAGGATTCGCGTTGGCTGAGCGATATTTCATACACTTCATAGAGTTTTGAGATTGCGGTGTATCCCCAACGATTCAATTTCGTTTGGCGACTATTTCACTCACGTTTGCTCACCGGAATAAGTTGGACGCCATTCAAAGACGTATGTTACAAAGTGTTGTGGAACAGATACGTGTAAGAATGAGAACACAAGTCTTCGACATTATCCAACCGTGAAGCAAAGAAGTTGCAAATAGACACTATTCATTGGCGCAACAAATTTCTACACCCAATTTTTGTGCCACCTGGTGCGTTTCCTGGACACCTTTTTGTCAATGGCAACATTTTTGTTCTTTATGTGCAAGGAAAAAACGGTAGTCATCCACATTTTAAATGGGAGGACCGATGAAAACAATGTTCAAGAAAATATGTCCTTGCCTACAATAGATGGACAAATTATTCAAACCCCGCATCCATGAATTGGAGGCCACCCCTTGTCCCCAAAAATTTCAACGTTATGGTTTTGTATCCTTGTTCCTGATCCTAGGGTTTGATTTATTTCGTCCATTCGAAGGAGCGAACCAAGCCAAAAAAAAACATTGTAATCGGGGGCGCGGGTGGTTATTGGATTACAAGGGTTTGAATAATTCGTCCATCTACGGTACGGGGACCGGTGGTCAGCAGGAGTGCAGAGAATGTGATTTTTTCCTAGTTTGTAATTTGTTTTTTCGGTTCCGTGATACGTTGTCTTTACGCGCGCTTTGCTGGTTCAGTTCCGGCATTCTTCCATTTAAATTTCCCTTCTCTAGGCGTGATTGCAACAGCTGTGCTTTTCCAACTCCCTTCCTTACGCATGATTGCAATTCCTGTGTTTTTCCAACGTGATCGAACAAGCTGTGTCCCTCCAGTTCCACTTCCCGCACGTGATGGAAAATGGTGTGTTTTTCCAGTTCCCTTTCCTTCAATCACACCCGGGAGGGGGGACTGGAAAAACACGGCAGTTGCAAGCACGGCCGGAATGGAAACTGGAAAAGCACAGCATGTGGAAGGACTTTCGCGACACGGCCGGCTGAAGTGGGTTGTCCCATCCACTAATATGGCGATATCATGTGATGACTTACTTTCTTGAAAAAACGACAGCTGCCTTGTCAATGCAAAAAGAAGAACTAAAGCTATTGAGGGATACATGGCGGGTCTAATCATCCACTTTTGTGGCGTTGTGACTGGCTTTGCTTTTCAATCATGGGGTGACTTCTTTGCTTAAAAAACAACAGGTGGTGACAGGTTGTGTGTTGTCCATGCATAGTTGTGGAAGAAATTAATACATCGAGGATTCATGATGGACCTTATCATTCACCTTTGTGGCGTTGTCGCTGGGCTTGCTTTTAGACTCATTTTGACACTTTGGGAGAATATAGTTTGTGAGTTCTTGGCAAAAACATTTGTCAGAAAAAATGCAAAACCATGATGAGAAAGTAAGAAGCGCATGAAACAGTAGATGGACAAATTATTCAAACCCCGCATCCATGAATTCGAGGCCACCCCTTGTCCCCAAAAATTTCAACGTTATGGTTTTGTATCCTTGTTCCTGATCCTAGGGTTTGATTTATTTCGTCCATTCGAAGGAGCGAACCAAACCAAAAAAAAAACATTGTAATCGGGGGCGCGGGGGGTTATTGGATTACAAGGGTTTGAATAATTCGTCCATCTACGGTAGTTTTCCTGGAATAAAGCGGTTTCCACTCTCAAGTGGGTGAATTTCACAACTACGTTTCAAGAAGAAAGTGGTGACATCTGATGGGACGTTTTCATTTTTGATTTCATTCCGTTTCAGTTTGTTTCTAATGCCCAAGTCTTGTTAGGACCGTAAAAGAAATTTCACTTCGACTTGAACGGGCGCAACGGAACGCAACGCTGTTGGATTGCAAATGTGGGGAATTTGAAACGTACTTCATCGCCCGAATCGTAAAACGACGTCGTACATGTCTGCAAAACCATATGGCCATCTATGCCCGCGGAACTTCGTAGGTTGACCTGAGGCATGCAATTTTGAAATCTTTATCATCTAACTATTTATCTATCTGTCTATCTATCTAACCATCTATCTATCTGTCTATCCATCTATCCATTTCTTTTCTATCTATCTATTTATCTGTCTCTCTATCTCTGTCTCTCTATGTCTCTACCTCTCTATCTCTCTATCTCTCTATCTCTCTATCCCTCTATCTCTCTTTGTCTCTATCTCCCTATCTCTCTATCTATCTATCGATCGATCGATCTATCTATCTATCTATATCTCTCTCTCTCTCTCTGTCTCTCTCTGTCTATCTATCTACTTATTTGTCTATCTGTCTATTTTTCTCTCTGTCCATCCATTCATCACATAGATACATAGATACATAGATACATAGATACATAGATACATAGATACATAGATACATAGATAGATACATACATACATGCATGCATGCATGCATACATACATACATACAGACAGACAGACATACCTACCCACCTACATACATAGATAGATAGATAGAAAAAGATTGATGGACAGAAGAAAGAGACTCGGACTCTCAACCACCTTTCGTTCCATCAGTCGACCCGCTCTGCCATCCATGCATCCGGTACAGACTGGTCAACCTGGGTTTGTCATCCGCGCCAACATTCTTCAGAAGTACATTGGGACAGCATGTTTTCTAGATGTTCCTTACGTTTTTTAATAGTTGAACCATGTTAAACCGGTTAATTTCATAGAGCATACCCTCAAAGCCTGAATCGGGGGTTTATCTTGCATGCCGTTGGCCAGATTGGTTTTTCGCGCGGTGAGGGACATGACCTGGATACTGTCCACCTGACAACACTAAGCAACACTCGCTGAGACGATTGCAAGCCAAGGGCATCAGTTTGATGTGTCCAATTTCTGCTTGCGATTTTCCCAGGTACGTTTGAACGGGCACTTTGTTGCGCCGGACCTAGTGCGCCACAAGCTGCCAACGAGATCCGCAAACGGCGTATGTGAACTTGGTATCAGGTTGAGGTCCGCGAGGCCTGCGACCTTTCAAAGCGTACGAAGTTTGGGTGACACGATGTCCGGTGGAGCGTGTGCTGGAACTTAGGGTGGGCAATCCAGGTCGGTGGGGGGATCAATTGCGTCAGTTTGGATCACTTGCGTCACTTTTGAAACCAGTACGCACTGGGGAGGGGCGTTTGGGGACAGCTTGCACTCGGACTGGAAGTTCGTCTGCTACTGTATTGGTTTTCACTTACGTTTGCAGGCAGGCCAGACGCCACAGGTTCATATGGGGAGGTGGAGGAGTGGGGGGGTAGTGGGTTGTAGTGGGGCGGGGGTAGTAACGTTCCCAACAATTTGCAGATGGACAGGACATGCATCCGCTACAGTGTATATTTGATGTCTGTTTGCGCAAGTGATGCCAATCAAAGCGGTACAAACCATCGAACAAAAACAAACGGCACAAGCAGGACCCCGACGAAGAATTTGGCATGGTGGGGCACACAGAGTTTGCGAGTTTGCTGTGTAAGGAGGCCGGGGAGGGGAGAGGAAAGGAGAGGAGAGGAGCCTGACAGGTGTGAAAAAACAGTGCGCCACAGGGAATAGAATCAGCCCACTGAATGGCAACCCGAAGCGAGCCAAGTCTGAAGCAATAGATCTGGTTTGATTTGTGTAACCTTCCCATAGACGTTGGTGAAATTTGGAGAAATGTAGTTCAAGGTGGGGATGCTGCAACGCAGGTCAAGGGGGGATGGGGATGGTTCAGGGATGATATACCAGATATATAGTACATAAAGGGTGATTGGGCGGTGACGAAAACAGATGATAAAAGTTTGGAGCCAACGTAGTTGCATATGCTGCATAGCTGTTTTCCATGGTCACGCATAAATCCGGGCAATACGAGTGCTGCTGCTCTTGAATTTTGGCTGGCATACGCCATGTGTCTTGTGCACATATCATTTTTGTGTGAGATTTTGATCATTAGGTCGTTCGTGTTGGAATACTGTACCAGGTTGGCTCGGTGGGTGCAGTGCGCACAATGACATTATCTGAGGACCGAAATCTTCATATTATGCATCTTGAAGTTCAAGAGAAATGTCTGCTGCTGTGTCGGTACGGTACTTTCGTGGATTCCATTGTCCGGCAAGCGCAGTGTGGAGCCTTGCTATTGCGTCGTTTTTTGACCTTCGGCTTCGGCGTACAGTTGTCTGTCCGTCGCGCAAAAAACGACTCCCTCCCGCAAGAGTCTCCACGGTTGGTGCATCGTGTTGAATACGCGATCAGGGTCCTTTGGACTATACGGGGCTTGAACGACTTATTGGAACACAAGCGATCTATGTCGGCCAGTCCAAAGCCGCCGGGACATTGTGACATGCCAGCCCAGCGAAATCTTGAATGCTTAGAGGTGGCCCCCTGGTGATCAACTTGGGATCATCCCAGAAAACACGGATGGGAAACCTGGCTGACAAAAATCCCCCTGACACCAAAAAACCATGGAAAAGCAAGGATGAATCGTTAACATCAACAAGAAATCATAACAAGCAGCATACAAACATTTATTTCCCTCTTTCAGAGACTGCCATTGTTCTAGCGCTGTGAAACGTCTCGCAGGTGCATTTAGCATCACGCTGCAGGGCTAGCTATTGAAGAGATGCAGCAGCGACCCTTTGTTGACTTTTAAAAAAAGGAACTGAAAACACATGTTTGATCCCCACCTAGGATAGCTAACCATTTGGCCATGACCCAAAAGTTGGAAAGTTCTTTGATCCTACGAATGGACCTGCAAAAAAGCAGCTCCTCATCTCTCCACGGACCTGGACCGCCAATCTACGGCCAGGATGACAGTGGTTGGAAGCAACATTTCAAGCACTGTGTTGAGCTCATGATGGGTTTCACCCAGCACCAATCATACCAATCTATTTTGGTCATCCCCAAGATTTTCCACTGTCGAGAGCAGTTTTCATCCTGTCCCATCATCTGCAACGGGGCTCATGGACAAATCCATGCTGCTTCACGGCTTCTGCCTTCAGCCACAATATTCACAGCCTGCAAGGTGCATGGCCAAAGGTTCAGCAAAATGTTGAATGTAGCCCTTTTGGGCAACCGCAAAATACAGAAAAATAAAATAGAGTCAAATCATTGACTTTTCTATCTATAATTTATTGCCATCAGCTAATGGGAAATGAAGTTCTAATCCAGAATTAGAGTAGGCTTTGCAACATGTTCATTTTCCAAACCCACATTTTCAGAATGAAAATCAGTTTTAATCTATTGCTGGAACCCTCACTTCACCAAGTCGGACAAGAAACTTCTGGATTTTTCAGGCCTCCCACGGTCCCAGGTTTTGACAAGTTGACAAACCCCGTAAAAAAAAAAAAAAACGGTGTGAAGCCCGCCCTTCAAACAGGTCTTCCACCTAAGGTGGGTTTCTCTATGGAGGATGGCCCAACTAACATAACCATTTTGCAGGGAAATTTTGAAATCATCTTCCCAAGTTTTGTTTGTCCACAAATTGAGCAAATGATGTTCTAAGAATGATGTTCTAAGCTATGGAATGGGGTTTTCACAAAAAAATAAACAAAGCCACAGCTAGTTCTTCAGGCATTCCAAATTAGATTTCAGTGTCAAACATCACACATCGCCCCAGCCCCAAGCGCCTGATGTTTTGTTTTTGCGGTTCGAGGGCGAAATCGTGACCTGAAACAAGGTTTTGCCAAAGGATCTGGTGGGGACTTAGAAATGGTACTTCAATCTGGTTCAAATTTTATTATCTATGAGACTATGAGGAATCGGAAATTTGAAAGATCAAATATTGACAAACTCCAACTCTTGGGGGTGCACTACCCAAGTGTTTCTCCATTTCCCAAGTTTTCGTCAGTCCTTTAGCCATCAAACTCCGAGTTTGGGAATCCAGAACGAAAATCTCCAGCAATTGGTAAAACTACATCTCCACTCAAACATGGCCAAAAACGAATTTTTCCCCCATTTATATACCAATTCCAAAAAACCTCAATTTTTGGGGATTCGTAGTTTAATTGTTTTGTATTTGTGGAAAAAACTTCAATTTACCACATCAACTGCTGGTTTTTGTGGCATGTTCCCTCCATTTCCAGCAGTTTTTCGGTGGTTTTTTCCCATGGAAAAAACCTCCAAAAACCTCCCGGGCATCCCAGCACCGGCTCCATAGTCCGACACCGCGCCGTCGGACCTCGGCGCGTGTTCTTCTTGTCGTTGCTTTCGAGGGACCACTGGAATGATCTAGCACCAAATGGGAATCAGCCGGAATCAGCGGTGATTTATGGTGATTTATTGGTGATTTGTGGCGATTTATTACTGTTTTATGGTGATTTGTGGTGATTTGTGGTGATTTATGGTTTATGATCTTATGTATATGATGATTTACAGCGATTTACGGTGCTTTGTGGTGATTTATCTAGAAATGGAGACTTAACCAAGAAATGTGATTATCTATAATCCATTGATGATAAGATGCAGATGTTACCCCAAACCAACGGAGCTTCCTCCGTCAATACAACAACTGTTCAGATCCTGATATTCCTGATGATGTTTGTCATCCGTTGGTGGATATCCCATGAAAACTCACCATTTGGGCAGCCTAAAAAAAGGGAACGCCTTGGAAGTTGACAATCAAACATGGCCGAGAGTGGTCTTCCCAAGTCTTTCCAGTCGACCCATTGCGGATTGATTCTCTCGACGGGATGTCCCCATGAAACTTGGTATTTCGTCTGTGACCAAAACGAAAGATACCATCTGGTTATGACTAACATAACATAGCCGTGGAAAATGGAAAGATCCACCAAGATCCACCCATTTTTAAGTTCGGTAAACCATCTATTTCGATTAGGGCCATGGCTTCCATGGTGAACTGTTAAATAACCAGAGGGTACATTGAAAACTTTGACACCCAAAAACTCTGCTGGTTGCCACAACGGTGTAACCTCAACCATAAACCGCGAGGATCGCATGGCACCGAGCAACTCATTCTTGGACCTTGCGATGATCGAAGGGCTTGGTCCCTGGGGTATCCTCCCAACAGATCCTCTGGTTATTCAACCGTAGTTTATGGAAAATCACCATCATTTTTTTATGGTAAATCATAAATCATCTATAAATGAGCCCATTTTCGATAGCATGATGAGTAATCAGAGGGTGTTTCTATAGTTGGTTCATGAAATGCCAGGTGTACTCAAGTTCGCAAAAATGTTTATAGCTGGATCAACAAGTGATCCAAAAAAACATGGATTTGTGGCTTCAACTTCCCAACTGATCCTGCTGCATCCCCATCCAATCCATGGGCATCCCCAACTCTTTTGGAGACTTCACAGTGACCTGCTTTTGTCGTCGCAGCCGAGCGATGTAACGGAGGAGTAGCATCTGCTCAGAGATTTTGTGCATGTTCCATTGCCAGGTTTAATTTTGCTAGAGGTAGTCCATAGCTATAAACTCAAATGATCTATGTCTTATCGTGGAACATGTGGAAGCGCATATCCCACAGGATGGTAAAGTACATGTATTTTGCTGTTTCAATCCCCATGGTTTTTGGTTAAACGTCACCATATCAATTGGTGTAAAGCTTACTGACTTACCCTATTGTTTTTTTCCAGCGAAGTCCCCTTAATGAACTATTAATGGTTATTTAATGTTTATTTAATGGTGATTTAATGTTTATTTAATGTTTATTTAATGGTTGTTTAATGGTGATTTAATGTTTATTTAATGTTTATCTAATGGTTATTTAATGGTTATTTAATGGTAATTCACGGATGGTGATGTTCTGGAACTCCTATCTTTTCTGCGTCAGACTGGGAACTTTTCCCGCGACGCTGCGGAACCTCTTCGAAAAGGATGTCGAAGGCTTCCTTCACATGCGCCCCCGACAATGCACTGGCCTGGTGGGTCCACATCCAACAGGATATGGAGATCATGGTTAATAAAAGTTCAATAACGGATATGGACAATGTGGAACTATACAAGAAATGGCTGAGACCAGGATTTTATAGATATGTACAGTAATAGATACAATAGGATTGTATAGACTATATCGTATTCAGGAATATGAGTTTCACGGCACGTGAAATATGGAGATCACACTACTCTCATGGCCTTTTTCAGGCCTATTGAGGTCAATGCCACCTATGGTACCATCAAACTTACGAGATGAAGATCGACACCAAAAAGCCACTGTCAATCTGTCATCTTCCTTCAATGGCCATTTCAGGAACCTAAATTGGAGGTACCTACCATTTCCTGGAATTCCCATTGATTCCTTGCCAGAAAATGTTGGTCATTGGAAGTATCATGGAATCATTCGCAAAACTTGGGATGCAGCTTCTCTAGAAGCCTTTCAGTTTCTTTTCTAACACCAGGTGAGTACCATGCCATGAAAATTGGAGCTGTCCTGTAGCGGAAACCACAGCCACAGGTGTACCCCCCAAGTGCCCAGAAACGCATGCAGGAGATTGTGTACACAGGCACATCCGAGAAAATGATCACGGAATCTGATCAAGTTTCCTCTTTGGAAATTGCCATTGTTTGGTGGTTCCATCTCTTCGAATTCCTGGGGTCAACGAAAAAACGTGTATATATATATAATTATAATATATATATATATAATTATAATTATAATATATATATATATAAAATTATAATATATATATATAATTATAATATATATAATATATATTCCAGTTATCCATGAATATCAAGGTTTCTGGGATGTTTCCACTTCCTGGGGACTTTCGATCCCACTTTCGTCTCCCCGCAGCCTCAATAAAGAGCAGACCTCAACCGGTCACGACGATTGAGGCATCAAGATGCTTCCATTGCCGTCGAGGTTGCCATTCTAAAGAAAATTTCTAACATCCAGCACAGCTTCATTTGAAATGGTCCAACACTGGTCCAATGGGTGAATCATACTGAGTACGGCCCCATGTTCGTGTTCATTGGTATTCATTGGTTGTCGTTGTCACCATACTATTATCAAACTGGAAAGCCCAAACTCTCTGCTGGAAATCATGGAGTGCTGGGTGCTGCTCACCGTTCTGCCGCGCAAACTCTTGCGCCACATCGTGGTACACCTGTGGCAAAGGTCGCTGGCCAATGATGGGAAAAAATGTAGGAAATCCCTGGGAAAAAATGGAAATCCCTAGGAAAACCCTGGTTTTTTGATGGGAAAAAAGGGGAAATACCTATAACATGTTCACTTAAATCACTTAAAGAAAAAACCCAATGATTCTTGGAAATCTCCCAACCAAGAATAGGTAGTTCTCCGAAAATTCTATCAATAGACATTGAAACAGCACGATGTGTCGTGGGAGGGACCGTCCTGAAGTTGAGATTTTTCTCCTTCGCCGGAGATCGGCATTTAAACAACTTATATACAATTGTAGAATATGAATCATCTCTGCACATAGTTTCACCAGACTGTATATATACTTATTGCATCCTATTGTTATTGTATCACAAGAAAAACAAAATCCAAACTCTACAGTAAGTGTCTGGCTGTTGCGAAACGCGTTTCGAAAAAAAAAAAAAAAATGCCATTCACAGCCGCCTGCCGCGTGGAAGGGTCTTGCTCCACCAAGTCAATCTGCGCAAAACCCACGGAAGCGTTGGTCATTGGAAGTGGTTTAAGGGGAAAATTCCCCGAAACCTCACAGGTTCAACGAGAAAAGCTGATGGATTGGATGTGTCGCTACTGTAATTTTTGGAACACAATATGTTCATACCCATATGATCAAAACAAAGTTGATGACTCGTCGATCGGATCGGAACTGAAAAAAATGCTAGTCGCTACATACAATAACCTGGTTTTCAGAAATCGGCGCTTTCTAGGTATTTCCCAGTTTCACATTGGGATTTGGATTAGTTTCTCCGGTCTGCCGCTGTGCCTTAAGTTTCTGCGGTTCAAAACACTGTTCAACTCAAAAAACTTCAGAGTTTTGCTGCAAAAAAAGAAAGGGTTGCCCAAGGAGGCCGGCCTTGTTGCCCACCAAAATGATGGTAGCATCCGGCAAAGCACCTGCAATGTCAGCATCCTACCTCAATTCTATTCAATTCTTCAAGGGCCCAACAGGCTCCTTGTTGCTCAGATGCCCCCCGCGCCTTCACGCACTTCCGCCACCTCAAGGGAACGGAGCATCTGACTCGGTGGAAACAGGAAGGGAATGGGGAAAAGGTTACCTGAAAATCACCATGGAAGCCACGGAAAGGACATGGAAAATGAGTTTGCTACCTGAAATTGCCATTTGTTTTCGTTCTGTCTTGAATTTTGGGGGTCTAGCTCCACAGTTGGCCCACTTGACAACCTGAGATAAACCTGTCAGGGGATACTCAAAATGAACTGCTCGGGGGCGACCTGTGAGTTGCCCCAAATCTGGGGCTCCCAGACCCAATTGGAACAGCTTCGGAACGTCTCCTGCCTCAAAGGGAAGATTGCAAGCCCCAACAAATTGAGAGTTGACCAAACAAGAATCATGGACGTTTTCATCTGGAAATTGGGATACTCGGATACTCATGTCAAGTGTAGAGATAGCAATGGTAATATATCTATCAAGAACATTTGAGGTGACAATAATAAGCATGTTATGTAAGTACAGAGTTGGCACCAGCACTTGATAGTCTGATGTACCAAGAAAAATCGAGTGTTGAACCATCAAGAAATCAAGCACACTGGTTGGCAACGACACATCAGTAAATGTCAACAAGACACTTGATCCAGGTTAGTATTATGATAAATCAAGCATCTTAATTTATCATGTCATAACTTGCTTTATCATATTTTATCATTTTATTCCAACCTGGATAACAAGTGTCTTGTTATAAATTTTATGGTTTTATTTTTGATTATGGAAAGAGGTGAAAACCTGTAACACCCAATAAATGGTGGTGGTGCAACCCCCATCTTTGTCTTCACCTGGTGACGTCATAGACCAAGACCGCCTCGGCCGCGATGTGGCACTGATGTGGTTTTTGCCCAATAAGATTGCGACCTACCCTGATGGATTCATACGGCTGAAAAACCATCAGTTGATGTGGGTTGCAACCATTAGTTGATATGGGTTACAACCATTTACAACCTACCTTTCTACCTTTTTGGGGTCTGGAAAATTTAATGACTCGAAAGGGTTCGGAAGAATCTCCCATCGTTGGGTCTGCCAGGCCCCATCTGCCATTCTATATCCCCATGATCCCTTTATCAAATTGGAAATCATTTGCTTTGCAATTTAGATGGTAACATCTAGTTTCTAGTTTCAGTTGCAAATACTGTGCAAGATGCAGTTCTTGTATGTTGTTGTGGCTCTGAAATTATGAGTGAAGAATATCCCTGATATCCATTGATATCCCCTCATTACCATCGAAAATGTCCATCGAAATCACATGGATCATCCAGTGGATTGCAACAGCGAGCCACGCCGGCGGCGCGCCGATAATGTGCGCGAGTGATGGCCCGATATCTCTCCTGGGACCGACCACTGAATCCAGGGCGGAAAAGTCTCGGGAAGTTTGCCAAAAATCGGGGGGTTACCATTTGGCCATCTATAAAATGGTTATCCCAAAGATGGAAGATAGATGATGATAGATGGTAGTGATCTTGGCAACCCAAACATGATATATTGGTTATCATTTGTTGGAATGAGCCATTTGGCTTTGCCCAAAAATGGAAGATACCACAAAATGGCCCCATTTGAAAGTTGTTGAATGTGAAAAATGATTATCAACAATGAGATGGAATGCAGTACCCTATTTTTAGGCAAACCCAAATAGAGGCGGCTCAATCGTCTTGACCTCAGGCTGTTCAGATCAGATTGGTGTTTTCCCTCCAACAATTGGATGGTTTAGATTTTGTTAAGGACTAAATGTATTGCGCCATTGGCTTGCCCAATGATAGATTGCCATACATGTAGCCCCCAACTTGCGTCCTGCCCGGCAGTGTCCCAAATCTGTGCCTGCACCAGGCAGTGGCAAGGTGACCAGAAGAAATAGCAGGAACCATTCAGTTAATATGTCTGGTTTCAAGAGGCCCCAAAATCAGCAGGTCAAGCACCATCATAATCAGCAGCAGTTGCTAGAAACCAGCCGGAGCTTGGGATGCCCAGAAGTTGAGCGTTCAGAAATTCCTCGAACACCGATTTCTTTGGGCATCTGCATCTGCCCGAAACAGCAACAAAACTCACCCACTGTTGAAGGATGTTCCTTAGACATCTTTAGGGGAGAAAACACCACCCAAACATCGTCGCATGTAGCCTCAAGTCTTGAGCACAAGGCGTCTTGTCGAAAAGAGGAGGATGTTCATCCAAGATTGAGGAAAGGACTATCGGACTATCTGATTGTAATTACCAATTTTACAAGAAACTAAATTTCACATTTGCCATTCCTATGACCTATATAATCTCCCGAAAAGAAATGCGTTCTCAGCTCTCCACAAAACCTTACCTTGGGGTTGCCTGAAACTTTGGACCCCACCATATCATGGTTTAACATAATTCTCCCCACTACAATTGCCATAAACTGGGGTCCGGGGACATCCCCCGGCTGCGGCTTAGGACGCTTGGCCACCTTAATGTTCGTCCCCGAAGGCAACTTGCATGTCTTCCTCGGAGTTCCGAGTTGTCCCATTGATCAAGCATGGAAAAAACATGGAAAAAGATGTCAAGATATGTCAAGTGTCGTGGTGGGGACTGGGGACCCCCATTTTTTCATTGCGCTTTATCGGCATGTTCACCGCCTCCTCAATGATCCTCAATGTCCTTCGTTTAGACTAATGTAGATGACAACTGACAACCTTTAGATTCATGAATACATGAGCAGAACATACACCACACTCCCACTGGGTGTCCACAAATCCATCCAAGTGATTGACGCAAAAGCGACCGATCGGATCGATGAAAAAATTGGAATTCATGGCGTATCTTCTAAAGTGGTGTAGCTTAGCATTACTCTCTGGTTATTGAACATAGCCATGGTATAGATGGCCCATAGAAATAGATGGTTTGCCTATTAAAAATGGTCGTTTCCATGGCTATGTAACAAATAACCAAATGGTAAACCCAAATGTTCTGAGTTTATGAAGCCACATTGACACCACAAAAAAATCTCCGGAGTCCCCCTTCTCGGTCCCGGGCGTGGCAAATTCCACCTTGGCAAACAGGAGATCATCCCATCAAATTGGCTTTCTCTAAGGGAAAAGTGAAAGTGGAAAAATCATTGAAATTTGTGTGTTTTTGATTGGGAAAAATATGTTTTGTTGAAGTTGAAAGCATGAAAGTCTTTAAGTTTTTGCCCCAAAAAAAATTGAAGGTGAATTAAAGTGTCAATTCTGAAATTTTGAGTTTCAAGTTTCAAAAGCGTTTTTTTTCCCCTGTTGAAGCACTTCTATCCAATTCTGATAGGCATTTTTGTCACCATCATTCCGAGGGGATCCAGGTCATCATATATCCCCAGATTTTGGGGGTCAAGAACCAACGAAAAAAAAACAACAAAATGCCAAATGTCATTGAGAAAAACTAGTCTGTAGTAATGAATTTATGATCATAGAATGTCTATGAATGTCTAACATTATATGGATATCATTACTTATATATATATATCATGATGTCGATACTTGTGATATCATAGCATGCAAAATTTAAGGCCAGGTGACTCCAATGGTGGCCGCAGGTGCCTCAGGATTCAATGATGGATAGAAGAAATCAACGAAATCCCACTGAAAATGGTATGAACACTGAGAAATGACACTTTTATGGTCAGAAAAAATGAAATAGTCTCCAATTTCGTTCAACTGTTCATTCCCGAATGGTAACTGAAAATTGGAAACAAATGCCATTTCAACTGGAAAGAGGATGTAAACTTTAAACATTCATGGGAAAACGGGAAAACCAAACTGCTGATTCAACCGTCCTCGGGATCATTGGACACTCATTGAGCGCCAACTGCTGTGGATGGGAGTTGTACGAGTGCAGAAACGCTCAGAGCCGCTTCTTTCATTGGAATCTTCCAGCAATGGCATTGACCCACAAACTTCATCCATGTTTTTCATCACCATCCATGTGGTGTCCCATATCAATGCGGTGTCCCAAATTTTACCAAATCAATATCAAGTTTATTCCAAACGTTAATCCCATACAATCCCATATCAATTTTAACCAAGCTGGTTGGTGGTATACCTACCCCTCTGAAAAATATGAGTTCGTCAGTTGGGATGATGACATTCCCAACTGAATGGAAAGTCATAAAATTCATGTTCCAAACCACCAACCAGCAAGTGTGAACCCCATACAATTGGTTTTTCACCATCCTGCCCCATCAAAATGCCGGCCTTCGGCAAGTCGTCCTGCGAAGTCATGAGAGAAAAACCCGCTGCCATTGGGAGTGTCAACAGGTCAACCGACAAGAAACGTGGTGAGTTGACAAGAAAGGTTGCGGTTTGAAGGTGTTTCAACAAACAAACAGAGTGACAAACAGATGGAACCTGCAATGATGTACATGGCAATATAGAATGCAAGCATCAGCCATCAGTGGGTGAGCTGGTGCTCATGTTGGGTTGCCCTCATATAGGGACGCCAGAAATTCCATGGTTAGGTAGATCTCCAATTTACCCCAAAAACATTGATCATCTTTAGTACACAGTATATTAGTCCACATATGTCCACATATGTCCACATATGTCCACATATGTCCACATATGTCCACGTCATCATTGAAAACATTTAACCAAAAATCATCAATTTTTCAGGCAAAAACATGAAAAACCTCAATAATTTTTGACATGTTTGATACCCCATACGCTCCATGGAGCCGCCCTGGCGATCCTTCATGTAACGCGACAAGATGTGCGTCTTTCCCACCGAGACATCACCCACCAGGACCACCTGTCGCTGTTTATTTATTGTTATTATTGTTCTTACTCTTATCCTTGGGATTGGCATTAGATGCATTAGTATGTTTATTGGTTTGATAGTGTTATTATCATTGTTCGTGTTCGTGTTCGTGTTGGTGTTGTTGTTGTTGTTGTTGAGATGACTGTTTTTAAATGTGTTTGTTTCATGTTTGAAAAGGTTGCTGTTTTGAGATGACTTGGCTGGTTGGAAATGCGGCTAGTTCAAGATGATTTAGCCAATTTGAGATGTACCCTTTGGTTGTTTAACATAGCCATGGAAAATGCCCCATTTATAGATGTATTTTGATGATTTACCTATTAAAAATGGTGATTCTCCAGTTAGCTACGTTAAATAACCAGAGGGTAATGTCCATCTGAATGTTTCGAGGGTCATATTAAAGAAGGCTGGCAGGAAACTGGATGGGATAAATTTCGGTGATAGCACCGAACTCGCCTGGCAAGTGGATTTCATGTCTTGTGGAAAAGGGATATGCCAGTCTACCATGGTCACAAAAACCACCCCAAAACAATGACAAACGAAAAAAAAACAATCATCATTTTGGGGAGCTCAACTTCACTATGCACCTGGGAGAAATCATCGACTCATCTGTCTAATCGAACCCAGGCTCTGCTCGCCTTGCAGAGCTTGTCGTAATCGTCTTCCCCCACCTAGGAGCCCCACTAGGAACCGTTGCCACGGTTCCTTCGTCACGGGGAAATGACTTGGGGCATGCTATGCTCAACGGTTTCAACTAAAATACATATATCAATGGGATTGGTTGAAGGGAAAATTTCGAGGAAACTGTTTGTTTTTTCTTGCCAGTAAACGCGTTTTTCCCTTGAAGAAATTTTGAGACTTAGCTGACATCCCGCTTCTCCACATGGTTATGCCCTATCTGGATATCCCATCCCCCAGTGCATGACCATCCGTCCAAGGTGCCATTGCGATCACTACGGGTTTGACATGGTCACAGGCGAAGCACTACCGGCGGTTTTGCAAATTTCCTTTCTTGATTTTCCTGTCTTGAATCAACGCTGGCCATATGTTCGTTGGGTTGAGTCAATGGATTGGTTTAAAATAAAATTTGCAGGAAACCATAGATTTCCCATGATATTTTCTCTCAAACCAATCCATTGAGTGTTCTGTTGCTGAGCGTTATGACTTTGTTTTTCGTGCACGCTGAAAAACACTTCGTAGCGATGCTCAGAGCGCAAGAAAGATGTGGCTGAGGCGAAACCAAAACATTCAAATCATTTAGGTAGGACCATGCGAACGAATACATAGGACCCCATAAAGTGATGTTGGGCTCACAAACGTCAAATAAACTAAGTAACTATGTAATTGTGGTATGTTGGGTGGGCATAACCAATCAAGCGCGCACCATCACAACGAGAAATTATCCGCCAAGTGTTTATTGGCAGAAAGCATCCGTTTTTTTTTTGAAAACAGGACATCATGCAGGCCCAAAACCGTTTCTTATCCATTTGTATTCAATAATCCCAAAAGATTCTACAGTAACGGTGGTTTGTCATAATGGCGTTTATCCCACAAAAACCTGATAGAAACCACGAACCCGAATGGATTGTTTAAAAGGTGTACATCAACAGAAAACATTTTAAAAAATATATAGTCGGGGACGGCTTGTAAGCAAAGACTGATCTGCTTACTACATCTGCCGGAGGCCAAAATCAGGCAATTAAGAAATCACCTCAGTAAAACCAAGTATAAACACTTGTAGTAAGCAACTATATGAAAATATGTACCAAACATAATTTCAGAATCTGCTTACTACAGTTCCCTTCGGTGAAGTGTTGACCCTCGCCTCTTCCAGGCTCACATTTCAAGCAAACATGTTTGAAGTTGCTCCCAGGGTTGGTACATGTTTAAAAAAGTAACTCATATTCAACAATCAAAAATATCAGGGAAATATGTAAAATGGACAATGTAGGTGCAAAAGCTATTCCTTGGGTACATTTTCCGATGAAAATAAGATACAAAAAACAAAAGGAAAATTCCAGAAATGCAAGTTCCTGAACTAATCCATTTGCGGCCACTGTTTAAAACCAAAAAATATCCCGGCACGAGACCCCAAACAACGCGGGGGAGTAAAAGGATAATGTATTATAGTGTTGATGAGTGAATGTTTATGATAATGTTGATGAAGATGGTGATTTGGATGATGATGACGATGGTGATGATGATGATGATGATGATGATGGTGATGATGATGATGATGGTGAAGGATGGATGAGGAGGATGATGATGATGATGACGATGATGATGATGATGACAGAAAGATGACAGGAAGATGACAGGAAGATGATGATGCGGATGTTGAGGAGGAGGAGGAGGACGATGCTGATGTTGAGGACGATGATGTTGAGGAGGAAGACCGATCCCAAAACCGGGAAGCACATTTTGTGGGAGCCTGCGCAATCGAAATGCACCTGCACATTGCACAAGAACCATTTTGTATGGAAATTTACAGGAAGAGTGCCGGGCCCGTATCCCGCGACCAGTGTTTTGTGCGAGCCTGCGCAGTCGACATACACACGGACATTTCACAAGAGCCATTTTGCATGGAAAGTTACAGGAAAAATGGCCGCGGACCTCCGGGGCCAGCATTTTGTGCGAGCATGCGAAGTCGACATGCACATGAACATGTCACAAGAGGCATTTCGCGCGGAAATTTACAGGGAAAATGCCGGACCAGTGTTTTGTGCGAGCCTGCGCGGTCGAAATGCACATGGAAATGTCACAAAAAAATTGTGCGGAAATTTACAGGGAAAATGCCGGACGCTTCCGATACCATTTGGCCTTAACACTTACGGTAAGAACCCCTCAGTGTGGCCACGCTGTTTGGGGAACTCGATATTAAAAACGATTCCGACCCATCGCTTGCTTCCCCATCACAAACCCAAAACATTTTTTGGGTTTTGATGCGTCGCAATCACAGCGCTGTGGCAGCAGAAGCGCCCAGTATTGAGCAAGCTGGCCGACGCAGGTAACAGCAATCAAAGAAGAACCTGACAACTGAGAAGTATCGAAAGTACAAATGGAAGATGATAGCACCAACAGCTCGAGTACAGCAATGTCACAACACGCGTCGAACAGGTAAAGCATCTGAAAAATTATCCCAGCAGAAGACCCCAAACACTGTAAAAACATAATGTAATGTAATGTTGATGATGATGTTAAAGTTGATGATAATGTTGATGAGCATGGTGAGGTTGAGGAGGATGATTTATTTCAACCAGTGTCCTCTATCAGTGTTGACACCGGCAGTAGACGTTGTCCTCAATGTTGTGAAAATTTCCTTATGTAAGAAGTGATGTTGTAGTTCATGTTCTAAAGCAGGGCTCATGGAGTAAATGACGTTGCAACTGACGTTTTAGTCAAGATAAACACATAATTTTGAAGAACCAGTAGCCCAAAGTAAGACCAATGTATAACAATATATAATTATACGATGTAAGAATTTTCACGTGGGGATCAAAACCATTCTTCTGAGGCACCACCTGCGTCAGAATGCCAGTCGTCGTTGTCGTCGTCGTCGTCGTCGTCACCGCCGCCGCCGTCGTCGTCGTCGTTGTCGTCGTCGTTGTTAAATGTTAATAAATAGTTAATTATAGTTAATTATAGTTAATTATAGTTAATTATTTTTGTTAATTTTTGACGACGACGACGACTTAGAAATTGACCGGATCAAACCAAAACAAAGAACACCAAACAAAACTCATATAAATATATATATTCAAGCGCGTTTGTGTTCTCAAATGTGTACACCAGGAAGATCAGCCACACTGTAAAATAATGTGTATAACTATATATATTATATTATGTATAAGAAAAATGCATACTAATACTATATACTACATAAAATATGACTTAATTATACTTAATTATATTAATAGTATCATATATATTATATGAAATATCAACCAGTGACCAATGTCCCCTATATCCAGGCCTCAAAATGTACCCAGGGTCAAGACAAAACATCAACTAAAACGTCAAATTTTACATGTAACATTATCATGAGGTATAATTCCACAAATCAAAACGTCAAAACGAACATAGTTCGGACATAGTTCGGAACCAACCTTGTACGGACACGTCCCTGGGAACACAGAAGCCTGGATATAGAGGACACTGGTTGAAATAAAGGATGATGATGATGACAATGGTGATGATGATGATGATGACGACGATGATGATGATGATGATGATGATCATGATGATGATGGTCATGATGGTCATGATGGTCATGATGGTGAGATGCTGGTGATGGTGATGATGATGATCATGATGATCATGATGATGATGATGATGTTGGGAGGAAGATGATGAGAGGAAGATGATGAGAGGAAGATAATGAGAGGAAGATGATGAGAGGAAGATGATGAGAGGAAGATGATGAGAGGAAGATGATGAGAGGAAGATGATGAGAGGAAGATGATGAGAGGAAGATGATGAGAGGAAGATGATGAGAGGAAGATGATGATGTGGATGTTGAGGAGGAGGAGGAGAAGGAGGAGGAGGAGGAGGAATTGATATTGAGGAGGAACACGAACCCCAAGATCGGGAAGTACATTTCTGCGAGCCCTCGCAATCAGACATAGAAAGTTGTTTGGAAGCGCCAGAAACCCAGTTCCAAAAACTCCAGTTGCAGCGTCCGCCCTGCCGAGGAAACGTCATGCTGGTAAAGACTGTCTGCGCGAGACCATGTCGTGTGGACAGGAAAAGTGCTGGACCCGACCAGAGTTTTGTGAGTCTGTGGGACAATTTACAAAGTACTCTAATACACCTCCGCGTCCAGCATTTTTGAGCGAGTCTGGGCAGTTGACACGCCAATGAACATTGTGCTCGTCAGTCACGTGAGAGGCAGACGTTCAGAGGTTAGTTGTGGCGAAACGTTCATCTCTCGTCAACTCTTCTCATTGCTAAGATATCGTTGGATGGACAGTCAAAGTTTTGCAGTTGCATGTGGCAGTCAAGCAACTGCGCACAAAGAAGATCTTTGCCAGCGCTTGCAGCAGCAGTGCCAGCCACACACTCTTTGCTTTGTCTGCAGCCTCATCGACCTTAGAAACCGAAGCGATCATCAAAGTAGCAGACTCAAAACGCAAACGTCAAATCAAGATTTACCTAGACCTGCACGAAACACAGTGTTGCCAAATTCCAGGGATCTTTCTAAATCGTTGTGTAAACGTTCTAGACGCATTGGTCAAATCAGCTTCAACTTGAAATCTACAATAGCTAAAACCAGACCCTCTAGGGGGAACCACTGTTGATTTTCAAGAGATTTAATTTCTTGATTGTGTGTCCAAAACTGAATCCAACAGATCGAATCCATTTAATTGTGTGTTTCATGTAATGTCTTTTTTTTCCCTCGGGTCTGGCCGTCAATGCAAAGGCATGGTCCTTGATCGCAAAAAGGATAAAGCAAAAGGATGGACCGCGGAAGGTCAGTCAAGAAAATGAATTGGGCAATCTACAATAGCATTGGTCAAGAGAACAACCAAACAAGGAAAAGGAGCTGGAGCTCAACGCAAACAAACACTCCTCCAAGTGACGTTAGCAAAGGGTCTTTACCTTCTGCTATTACTACCTCTCGATCAAAAGGAGGTCGGACAGCCCAGCCAATTAGTCACAAACCAAGTGAATACCCTTTCATCCGACAGCAAAAGACACCTCAGCTCCTAGATGCCTGAGCAATGCAAGCCTCTTTGGAGTCAGTGAATTAGCCTGGCACTCAGAGTCCCTGAGAGTCCGTCACGATTGCGGCCCCGTACCCGGGGGGAATCGATCCGCGGCTAGCTGTCTATGCACGGTCCTGAGACGGGGACGATACCACTAGACGACGAGATCACCTGTCCAGGTCGGTACAAACTGACAAGCCACAGTGCGATTGCCACTGCCGACGAAGAATAATGTCATGCAGTAGTGCAGTGTTGATAATAGACAATTCAATAAAGTAGTTGAGACCGGCAGCGTCT